TTTAATACGAACATCAAGATAATTCTACTGTACGGATCTGAAACTTGGAGAACTACCACAACCATCAAGGTGAAAGTATTTATCGACAGTTGTCTACGCAAGATACACGATGTCCGTTGGCCAGAAACCATCAGCAACAGTCTGTTGTAGGAGAGAACAAACTAACTTCCAGCTGATGAGGAAATTAAGAAAACACTTTGGAAGTGGATGGGACATATATTGCAGTAACTATCAAACTGCATCACGATTCAAGCGCTTACCTAGTATCATAAAGGGATACGGCAGTGAGGAAGATGGGAGAACACACTACGTTGAGAATTGAAAGCAGACATGAAAAGGATGAATAGCAACTGGAAAGAATTTTCTAGGACAGTTGAATGGATAATGCTGGTGGAACCTCGAAACGACTGATTAGTCGATGTAGTTTTGTAACTGTTCAGCCTGCAGTTCGATGTTCCATGAGAAAAATTTCTGCCCACTTGCTATGTGTCAACAACCAGAAGGTAAATTTGTCCATGACGTGGATCAGCAAAGTCCATATGCATACACTGCCACGGTTAATGATATTGAACATGATTGCAGCTGTTTCCTGTTGTACTTTCGTTGGTAGCCCCCATTTGTTAAATGAACGGGATAGCTGCTCCAGTTGTGTCTACGTATGACCAGTATACACACTTCATGCTGTCACTTTCATGTGACTTATTCCAGGATGTCCTGCATAGGATTAATGAAACACTACTAGACGTAGCTTTTTGGGATTATGACAGACTCGGCTAATGAAAGGCTGTAATCGACAATCTGAAGAAATAGTCTGCTCTTGTATGGCACTTTCGAATATCCAATGCAATATGAAAGATTAAATTTACTGAACTGTTTTTCAAAAATATATATATTTTTGACTAATAATAAATGTTATGCGCAGAACATGAAGGCTTGAAAGTTTTAATTTCAAATTAATAATGAATTATGTTTTCTTACTTAATGGTATGGTGATAAGTGTTTTTACATATATCTGTATGTATACATAGATGTTTGCATCCATGCATACATGCATACATACATTCATGCTCACAACGAACTGTCAACAAGGTTTATGCCAACATGAATAGGCACTGCACATACGGTTACATATTCTGATAGAAACGAGTTGACTCTCCAACGCAGAAGGCGCCACAATCGATACAACTTAATTTGTAGACGCAGTTTTGTGTAGATATGAAACGGATTCTTTCTTTTAAGCGAACTAAAATATTTCGAAATGTGTTTGTTGTTTTGTAATATACGTTAATCCTGTGTTGTTTTAAGATTTTGTGGTGTTCCATGACGGTATGGTAAAACTGCAGTACTAATCCATGGCTTTTTATTCGAATCATTATTATAATGCATTGAACCATCCTGTTTTAATATGCTTCTGATAATCGCCATAGGAAAATTATTGAATTGTAAGATGCTGATTGCATTCTTTTGTTATTTTTGTTTGCCAAAAATAATGAGTAATAATAAATACTCATTGGAATATTACGAATATATTATTTATTTATAACAATCTACTCAATACTCAATTTATTCGAAATTATTAAATCAAACCTTGGTATTGACACCTATTGACGTAGTAAGTTTTAAAGCGCCTGTAAGTATATGAGAAATTGAAATAATACGAACGAGTAAAACGCCGTATAGGAAGCTAAGTATCCTGCGGTGGGAGCAAATAAGTTCCTTAAATCAATTGTTTTGCAGACGCTCAAGAGTGATTTCGCTCCCCTTGATTTCAAGAATTATAGTGATTGAAGAATCTTGGTTAATCATTATCATGTAGTCACAGCACGGAACGGCGTAAAAAGTATTATACCTTTAAGTTCTCAATCTGGAAGTTTTCCTTTCCACACTTCTACATACTAGCGATTATATAAACCTCTCAAAAATGGTGGGTTTCTACCTCGGGCTATCAGTTGTAAGTTAAGTTGAAACTGATATCGTCTAATTCCATTTTATCTATCATATCTTCACCACTACAAGAAAAAAATGAAAATGCTAATCTTTATCCATCCGAATCCTCGGTGTTAAGTGATATATTTGATGTTGAGATCTAAACCTCATTCTGATAATATTGATTTGAAGTACGGAAAGTTTAAGCGACTGATAAAGACGTATTTTTATGCATTCTTAAGACAGTTGTTCGAAATCTCAGTCAAAAGTCAAAATTTTGTAATTCGTTTCACAGTTGATGTAAGAAATCTGGATCTTGAGGTCATTTACTTTGTTTGATAGCATAGATGTCTAACGGAGGGAAGCTTCTTGACGTAAAAATATGTTGTATCCTGTAGATTGATCGAATTGATTGTTTCTTCCTTTTATCACATGCAGAAAGTGTAGGATTCAACTTGTCCTGTAGATATAATACTAGGACCGTAAACGCGATACTAGTGAACCCAGAGTCTATGTGAAAGCCATAATCAGAACAAGGATAACTTGGCTTTTAACCCTATCTGTTTCTAGACGTAAAAACAAGTAAATTATTACAATAGTTAAAGGGATAAAAGTCATTAATTGAAACACACAAACATACTGAACAGTATTGCATGCTTTATCGAAATGAATAAAAATTATGAGTCAAACTAATACAATAGGATAATAATGTCTTTGAATTGGCAGGCCACATGCAACTTGGATAGTTTACAGACACACAGACTAGATCAACCTGATGGGCGCTTAAACAACGGTTTGATTTGTTAGTCATAGACATAACTAACAAGAGGTTTTGTAATACTTTGAACACACAACGAACTATGGCACGCTAAAAGTGAAGTTAGGCCGGAGATCTATCTTCTATTTTGATAAAATTTGAGGTGTAGAACTTTCATGCTGGTAGTCACTCTTGTTTTTCATATCGGAAAGGCCGGACTAATGGCTGTAGTAGGTTTTCATTATAATCGTGGAACTTAAACAAACACATTTTTCAACATTTAATACGAGATAACAGGAAATGTAATGTTTGTGCAAAATAAGGAAGTAACCAAATATTTCGATACCACCAAAAGGTGTTCAACTAACTCGCAACTACTTGACTTATGCTGTTACATCAGGCTCATCTTCCGTGATAATATTCCTTGAGTCAATTTAGTAAATAAAGTTACATTAGTCCGTTCGCAGCACCCTTGTGGAGAACCACCATTTAGTCATTCATATTGAAGATGCCACAGGTATCTGGGGTTTGACAATGCTTTAACCAGTAACATCTAATATAAATCGTAATCACCAAGCGAAATCAAAAGACAGATAGAGAATGTTCGAAGATATATTTGATAGGCTATCAATATATCGTGGATCGACAGATTTAATCTGGTTAGAGATTGCAAGGGATGTTGAACACGGCGTTCCCAATCGTGATCTGGTGCGGATGCATGACCGAGCGCCTTCAGCTAGGCGAGTCCATTAAAACTAATGTGGTCGGCATCCAATGTCGAAGATTTACAGAGCTATTTATTTTGGGGATTTATTTACCACTACAACATATTTGATTGACTGGGTCATCCAAATGTTAATGGTAGTGTTATGCCTTTGTGTCATAGGGCATTCCCTAAAAATGGAAATGAAGTTCGGGAAGCTGATATTTAGTCCTTCTTGCTTGTTCTGACATGTTTTATGGCTGTTGAATATTGATAAATGCTGGCGGTATTTATGGTTTTATGCGGTGTGGTTGTGACCTTTCTATAGATGGAAGTCCTGATGAGTTTCTGTGACTAGTTGCTGGATATAACTTGTCTAGCTTGTATCCTGCTTCTGTAGCAAATCTCAAACCTAAAGTAAATAGTTTTCGTATGAGTGTAGGCATGGCCACGCAAATTGTTCAATGTTTTGTGCGCTGTCTAGTTTGCCTTATTAAAATTTTGGTAGTGATTAGCGAGGTATAAGTATCTTTACTCATGCTCTTTCGGCCCACTTCTCGTCATTTTTTTGTTATTCCAAGGTAACAGTCACTTCTAAGTGTCGGTTCCACAACTTATTGATAAGCTTCCAAGAATTTCTGGTATAACTGATTTTCCATTTTTTTGAAGCCGAAATCTATGACAGTTCATATAGGCTATAGACACTCATCGGAAATGTGGCTGAAAATATCGACTACAGAAGGTGTAACTGAGAATTTTCAAGACGTTTGACTGCTGTTTCATTCTGCTGTTTGGTATAAGTTACATCCCATGCATGTTTTTTCTTAGTACCCTAATGGCGACCTCAATATTCATGTTACGTGGGTATTTATGTTCAGATAACATGACATTTACCCTGCTGCGTACTTATGATGGCCACTAATAAAATGCTAGGGTCGCCCACATTAATTTATATTTTGAACCATTTTTACTTCTAATGTAGAATTTCGCATGTTGTTAATGAGTGATTTTTAATCGATATCCAGCTTTCAAATGACTGTCTTTAGGCTATTATTGATATAAGTTACCGAGTCCTTTTTTAGTCTTCAACTGAACAATCTGGATCAACATTTCGAACAGCACTTCAAGTAGTTGGAATTGTATTCTTCAATTCTTTCGAATAACACAAACGTTTAAGACAAAATGAAGTTGGTTGAAAGTGCATTGTACATTGTTGGCTGGCGTGATTTATTGTTATTTGGTGCATTAACTACAATATAGGAATTTAAATACCAGTTATATATATTTTCTCCTGTGTGACAAGTTCTTTTAACTGTGTGTGACTCCAATTACTTTACGTTTTTATTAAAACTTTGTACGAAACCGTCCAGTGTATTTTGTTACCTCGGAGCCAAAGAATATTACTGTTTTGGTTGGAATAATATCTAGGGTTTTCATTACGAACTGACATCAACTATAATGCCAAAACTCTATTTTACCAAAAGTCCGAGCCCTGTTATCTTATACCTCGTATATGTGCTGTGCTTCGACGGAAAAATAATTGTCTCTTATATTGTTTAATTGAATGCTAAACGTTTTTTTATTTAATTCAGGTGATATTTTTAGACTTCAAAGATGGCTTATGAGATCTCTGTTCCTGATGCGTATAGGTATAGAACGATTTTCGATCAACTTCAGCCAACCTATGGGAAATTATCTGGGGAAAAAATTAGAGAGGTTTGTGGAATTTTGTTTGCCGACTGCCATTAGTTTAGATTAATGTGATTCTGTTGAGCAACATTTTTTAACCTAGTGAAATTGTTGCTTATTATATTGATTACAGTCCTAGGAAAGCTGGGAAACTATCATCTATTGCAGTGCTTTAAGAATAGCTATTCTGTTATTTTTGGACGTAATCCTTTTTTCTCCGAACGCTATTGACTCCATTTGTCTTCATTTATATGCTTGAATTAATTTTTAAATTAAAGTGTCAAATACTCCGGCATATCTGAAATCACTTACAATGTCGAAGACAGGAGTTTGAACATCATTCACATACTTAAGTCTCAGTCACTAGCTATCATACCCAGCTGTTGCGTAACGGATTTAAATCATAGTCTGGTACATGAATTAGCACTTCTTGTGGAACTACTAATTTATTCCACATTTCATTTATAATCAAGTATTAATTATTACTGATATCCTCTTAAAACATCTTGAATATACAATGGTTTGCTCAAGTCGGTCTGTACTCAAAGATAGCTGTTGTTGTATGTAATACTTCCACAAGACATCGAACTTCTTTATTTTCAGTAATTTCCTTTCAAATGGGCATTAGTCCATCAACGATTAGATAGTTTAGTTAAACTAGTTAATTCAGTCTCCATAGGTACATCACCTAAAAAGGAATACTGAACTTCCGTAAAAGTAGAATGTGTGTGTGGATAGCGTGCATATTCCTTATCCTATTGCTATAACCTTTTAACGTTTAAACAGTTTTATGATATTAAAAATCCATTCTAAACTAAAATTACTTAATTATTTGGCTATTCTAAACAGATGTTTCCGAACTACAACTGGCTACAATCAATGAAATAACGATAGTGATTAATTGAGAACAATTGATATGTTTTTACGCTGTTTCATTTATACACCGTCAAATACACAAAAGAATAAACTTATTGAGACCCGTGACTAAACTTTTTGTCATCAATATGCTATATATAGTTCCTGATTTGACCATTCGTTTTTTCCCAGGTATTTTTAAAGTTTCAGTTACCAGTTGAAACTCTTGGAAAAATATGGGACCTTTCAGATATTGATAATGATGGTAGTCTAGATCAAAGCGAGTTCATTGTTGTAAGTTTAAAGTGATATTCGTAGCTTAGTTTTTCATGCCTATAATCGTTATATTAAGTTTCAGTATAATTTTAATGCTGAGTGGTTATCTTAGGATTCTCGTCAAAATTTCACTGATTATTATTAGTTAGTGCTACTATGTCTGATATTTTTTTTTACGGTAGAGAAGCGTGTAATAACACTTATAGGTCTTAGTTCTCATCAAATAACCCTACTGGTTGGTTACTTATTGTCATCATTTTTATCGCCCCGGTGTGTTTTACTCGTGCCATTACTTATTTCAGTGGGTTCGTCTTCCCCAGCATAAGATTGTTTGAAAGGGTCCCGAGAACCCTCAAAACAAATGGTTTCCGCCTATGAAGTCATTGTTCTTTAGTGCAAGTCTTCTCAGAAAGCTCAGACTTCCTTATGTGTTACATAATTATATACTCTGAATTGTCCTCCAATCATTTAACTAGCATTTGCTGCAAAGTTGACCAATTTGATTCGCATCAGCTGAATTAATTTTTTTCTAGTCAGACAATTGTGTATTAAATACTTCTTAGGTTGTTGAAATAACATCTAGATAAAAGTATGTGAAATAAATCATCAACCATCCAGTCATAAACAATGTAAGAACCTGATGTAAATGAATATCGGCTCAAGTTGACGCATAAATGACCAATCTTATTGAATGTGGACGGTAATTAACTGTATTTCATTCTCTTACCTTCATCATTTATTATTTGTCAGTTTGAATCTTTAGTAATTCAGTTGTATCTCTGATATTCTACTATATTGTGTTCTAACCTTCACTTCCAATCTGCAATTTGTATGAATACAGTCTGCGTTATTCATACCTCAATTCCAGTTACTTAGTTTTAGTCACATAAGTCAATCATTTGCAACGTAGAACCTTGTAAGTGTGTACATTGGTTCAATTTCATATACCCTATCAGCACAGCGCGATAAAATCATCAGGCCGAATCCCGGAACAACGTAGTTAGTAACAGTATCAGTGATAATAAAAAAAGATTACTCATCGAAGATACGATTCAAGAAGAAAATCTAAGTTGGTGAATTGAAATAGATGATGAGGCATTCCGAAGCTTAGAGTCTGGGGGAAGACAAAGAACGGATGCACCTGTGTCATTACAATTGATTTTGAGCCATATCGTTCTAAGTCTCTAAGCACTGGTTACGAAAATCACGTGGGCTTCAACCAGGTATTCTACACCTGTTAACACACGAGTCAGTCCAATTGTCAGTGACTTCATGGAATGATGCGATGTTTTGGTCTGACCGCCCCTCGGATTCCTCCGGCTCACTCTTACACCAAACATCACCCGTCGAGGTAAGCAGTAGCTGGGTATATGTAACACATGTCCCAACCACCTCAGTTGATGAGAATTCGTTACCCCACCAACCGAATCGACATCTTTAACTTGTACTCTATGCCTAACCCAGGCATTGCTTACTTTGTGTTTCCGAAACACGAACAGTGCTTCGAAGACAAGCGTGATTGAATACTAGTGCTATCCTTAGTGAGTATACTTCACATCCATAAAGTGAAACGGAGAAAACTGGTGCACAGTAAAATTGTCCTTTGTTGGTAGATGAATATCTCTCCTACGCCACAAGTGACGCAAGTTGATAAATACCGATCGAGCTTTCTGAGTTTGTGCTGAAATTTTTTCAGATACCAGAGCACCAGGACTGATGAGGCTCCCAAGATAAGTAAAGCGGTCGGTACGTCCAACTACTTCACTCCCTAACATTAATTCAGGCGCCGACACAGGCCAATTCCAAAGCAACATTTTTCATTTGGAGGGAAAGAATCGAATTCCAAACATACTTGCCTTGTTGCTTAACGGGGTCATAAGACTCCGGAATTAGCCATTCTGTTAACTGAATAGCAGTATATCATCTGCGTATTCTAAGTCAACAAGTGAATCTTCTGGTAAAAGATTAAAGTGTTATTTCTGAAATTATTTGTTTGACAGAGTTAAATGAAGATGAGGAAGGCGGAAAACTCTGGGGGACACCGCTGGAAATAATCAATCTGGGTAACAGTTCTCCATAAGCTTGAAATATTCGTGTCAAACTACACTTTTGGTGCGGGTTACCTATATTTATATAAGTAGTATATAAGGGTGGTCAGGCATAGAATGTATTTCAGCAGAAGATCGATGAGGAAAGAACAGGAACGGAACGCAATTGGTATGAAAACGCATGAACAATGAAATCTGAAACAATGGATTGATATTTGCGACAAAAACGGTCAAGTTTGAGATGATGGATTGATATTTTGCAAATTAACGATTTACCGTATGGTTCTCAGATTTTATTGAGATGCTCTGTGGTTTTGTGCTCAAATACATTCGATTGTCCTCACTCGTGTTCTTATTCACCACACACTGAGTATTGAAACGAGTTCGAATTTTTGTCAGGTTGTCAGGACACGGAAACCTTATTCCATACATCCTAAGTTTCTATACACCTTTATATCTGTACAGTTGTGTTTAGGATAATACAGCTTTTTTTACTTCGATAAATATTCAGTACGATTTTGATTGTAGGCTATGCATTTGGTCCATCAATCACTGGAGGGTAAAATATTACCGGACAAATTACCAAAGAATTTAGTTCCTCCTGACAAAGAACATTATTTTTCAAACTCTACGTCTATTAATAATTCCATGTTGTGTTTACCGCCTATTACTAGTGATGCTGATTTTAATTTGGCATTAGTCCCTGTGCAGTCTACATCAGAATTAAATCCAAAACAGAGTACTGGATATTTATCAGCGCTTGTATCCGTGAGTAATTAAATATTTCAATCTTCATTATTGATCCAGCTTAATGATTTCACTTATCATAGATATTAATTGATCCTTTTTTGATTTTACTCACTTAAATTTCTTTGCTTTTACTAGTATAAGGCAAACTGGTCTTGTAGTACTTTGAAACTTCGCTTTAATAATTCCATACGTAATATAGTACAGTAAATGCAGTTTACATTTCTACATATTGCCCAGACTATTGTCTTATATAGCTGTTGTGTTCTTTTACTGTTTAGTGTTCCCTGACCACGATGGTTCCAGTTAACTCCCCCCAAATCAACACCATGCATATTTCAACAAACCTGAACAGCAGACCTACAGAATTAGAAACTTTAGACTATGTATATAATTTACGTAGGAATATACCATCGCGATCCAACCACTAGTACTAATTTGTTCTGAATGGGTCAGTCAGTGTATTTCGATTTAAGTCTGATCAGTACCTGTAATAGTCAGGATTCTGTCATGTTAACAGTGATAACGTCAAACTGCATAAACTCAAAGAAATTCGTCGTTTTTATGTTAGTGACTGTTAGAAAAAAGTTCTATTGACGAGTTCAAAATTTGATTGAAATTGAGTGATTAGTTTATCTGATATATGGATTGTTTAGCTTACCGGCAATTGTATTGTAAGTTTTTGGACAATATAATCTCATTCACATTATTTTATTTTTTTCAAACTGTTGCTAATAGTGTTTATGTCAAACACAGTGTTTGGGCTCCTTAACTCTTACTTCTAACCTGACAACGAGAACTGTTTCCTTGAGCCTATATCGTGGTGGGATTAGGATGATCGAAGGAAATTTAGTTCACATTTGACACTCAATATATCTAATACTGAGAAATCAATTTTTCCATATTTTTACTTAAAATTTGAAGAATAAAAGGGGTTAGGACTATCACTTACTTCTCGACAAACCATAAACTAACCATTCTAAAGTACCAGAGTGGATATGTAACTATTTATCTCCTTATTCACAAAATAATTCGTGGAACTAAGTACTGCTCTTTATTTTGACCACTAGTCTATAAAATAATCTTTTAGATTTAAAAGTTGGGAACAATGGTGGTCGTTTGAATCCCAATTGCTTAGAGGAACCGCTAGTCTGCAATTAGACTTCTAAAGTTGGGTTTTTGTGATACATTGTGTCGATCAGTTACTGAGATTGTATATTTAGTGTTTATTTTATCTATTTATTTGAACATATAAATATTAGTACAAGGGCGCACCGAACACGTATGCGCCACACAAGTCAGTTGATTTGTGTATGGGTTGTGATACTGTTCGGGTGCCCAGACTGAAGCAGGTTGTTTCTTTAGGGGGTCACACCTAGAGCCTTCGACTTACAGGTCTGATCCATAAGGCAGTGGAGCAACGTAAATAGATGCGGTCCCATGGTAGTCAGTGACCAACGATTGGTTCATACGCCATTTGTTCCTTTAAGATCCTGGAGCATATGTGCACCATTGATATGAAATCAGGGTTTTCCAACCCCCTTAGGTGGACCCTCTGTTTCCACCAACCCGGTTAAGGCGCTGAACATTCGCTTTCCGTCCTCTCAACTCCGTAAACAAGACATTCGCCGCGAGAAGTCAGTCACTAGGAATTCCCTGATAGTGGCTGTAAACGCGTTGATATGTGAGAGGATGTCGAGAGGGAGAGCTAACTCCCCACTTTCGGCCATACCCAGGGCATTTGGGGGCTATACTCAGTGTATTTCCTATGATACGTGTACAACATTTATTTTTAGTTAAAGCAAAAATAAACCTATCTACAAACGGAAACATGAATAAAAATCTGTAAAGCTATTGGTTATCAGTCCGCACCTACATGGGAGAGGTTATAAATGATCAGTGATATAAAATTATCGGCTTTTATATAAAATGCTAATCGATAGATAGTAATGAGTGACACTAAGTGTGCTGCATTATGGCTGCTTACAAGAACTGATTATTGGTGTAGGCAACACCACTGGCCAGATGAGATTTTTATGTAATAAAATAAAATGCTTATTTACAGAATATAAGAACGAAAAAAAACAATAAAATATCAAAGGTGATGAAAAGGAATTAGCTCGTAGGTCTCATTCTGCAGTCAAATAGGACATCACTGTTAGGCCTGGACATCGTATTAAAATAATTTATCAGTTCGAATTAACTTGGCTCTCTGTAGATATTCTGGTTTTAGATTATTATTATTATTATTATTATTATTATTATTATTATTATTATTATTATTATTATTATTAATGGTTTTATGCAATATAGTGGTAGTCTTAATCGTGATGATTTCATCAAATACACATTTGCTCCTCCCACCGATTTTTTTATTCAGAGAAACTTTATTCTCATTGTAACGTAACTATACCTAAATTTCTACTCGTTTTGTTATGACTAACTGTTTCAAAAGGTACCTAGTCGTTAGGTGTGTTGCTACTCTCATAAGTAATTCATAAAGCTCGGGCTGAAATCAATAATGATATTTTTCTTACATTACTAGCGAATGAACATACGGTTGACCTTCAGAAAAAGTATACAATTTAATTTAGATAATGTTACTGTTTTTTACTGCAAACATTAGGCTTTTCCAACTGGTGAAACATTAACTACACAGTCAACTCATACAACTCCCACTGTTTGGGCTCTGTCTGGTCATCAACCTTATCTTCAGTTGTATAATTTTCCAGAATGGGCTATTTCAGCAGACGAACATGCAAAAAATCTGAGAGTTTTTGCTGCCCTAGATATGGATGCTGATGGGTTAGTTTCAGGCCCTGAAGTGAGAGATATTCTGATGCGATCCGGTTTACCTCAAGATATTCTCGCTCATATATGGGAGCTGGTTGATATACAAAATACTGGTTTGTTAAACAGGTAAATGTCTTTCAATTCAATTACCATTTCTACATTATGTGCGATACTTTATTTGTCTTAACTGATAAGTAAATATTGTAATTTTCCGGTTGCTATTACAGTTCGTTATGATGCTGTATTTCACTTTACTTCTATGATTAGTTTCTATTGGTATATTCTGCTACATATTTAACTATCTGAATATTTCTCTGTTAATTATATGACAGTGTCCTTTTTAAATCCAGTATTAGATAATTTTTGAAATATACACTTACATATGTATGCATACACAAGAACTATTATTTAATGGTCGAAAGCAATCGATTCCCAATTACTAGGTTGTAAATCTGTTCAGGCGACTGGATTGTGTCACTAATCCTCATAAAAACAGTGGTTCAAACCCGAAAACATAAACTTGCACCACGTAATGTACATACATGTATCATACATGTATCCGTCAAATTATGTCTTTAGCTATATATTACTGCATGTATATTATATCTTTATTTTTATTGTATGATCTGTAGCTTTTTAGGCGTAATAACGATGTTTTCATTATCTTACCAGGCTTCAGGATCCATGGTTGTAAATATCGAACACTTTATCGAACCATTAATTGTAAATTCTTAGTCATTTTGTCCATTTTATTTTAAAATAGAATTTGAGCTGTATTTCATCTTGTAAGAATTTTATTTGTATTTACAGTGAACAGTTTACAGTGGCCATGCATTTGGCAACGGAACAGTTATCTGCGGGCTTATCTAATCGTACCCTTCCTAATGTACTTCCGCCCGCTTTACTTCCACCAAGTTTGCGCCCTATTCCTCCAGATCCGTCTATTTACGAAGAATCTAACAAACTAATTGTAGAAATAGAAACATTAAGCCGGTATGTTATTATTATTGCGTTCAATTTTTGTACCATAGGTTTTTCTTGCTCAATTATCGTTTTGTATTTGTTATTGATAAAATATTTAGTTTGTGTTGACCATCAAACTAAGTGCACTAACTAGAATTATCCTGGTGGGTTTTAATGAATATTTTTTTAATAATTTGGTTGTTATTTGTGTAAGCTACTAAGTAATTATCATCTATGTTATGGGAATTCTATCTGTAGACCTATTGGTCAAGCGATTTCATTTAAAGTAAAATTCCTTAATTTCAACAAACCTGATGTGTAATGAAGTAGGTGGCGGTAACATATAGCTCGAACTAGAATACCTTTATACTTCATTTCTTCTTTCTCTCCTAACACGGAATATTGCAACAGACTATCACTTTATTGACAGAAGTCAGGGTTAACAGATCTGCGCAAATAATATATGCATATAAATTTAAAACATATGAATATAAAACGCTTGAAAATAAGGTGATTATTTCGCGAACAAAAAACGGGCAAATAAAAAAGAGCGTTTTTAGTTGTAGTTTGAATAAAGGGTTTATTTTTTTGGCGGTTACTGGGTGAATTAGCGGAATTTTATATTTAGTGAAATAAAAAATAACAGGTAAGTAAATTGTTTTATACTCATATGAAGTCCTCGAAAAAACTTTTCGCTTGTCACATACACGAAAACTAAGTATTTGCCCTGAAGCATTACTGAAATTCGAAAACCTTTTCGATTGTCAGTGAAGTGATGCAATATGTGAACTGTGTTAGAGGAAAGCTATTGTCACTATAATTAAGTTGTCTTACCACGAACTATTGTTAACTTCGTCACATGATGTATAATATGAAGGTTGGATAATCAATATGTGTGGAGCTATGCTACTTTTTTGACCACTGATATACTTCAATTACTTTTTTGGGGCTTACAGCTCATAGCTTGAGTCTACAGTACTACTACTACTACTACTACTACTACTACTACTACTACTAATAATAATAATAATAATAATAATAATAATAATAATAATAGTGTTGATGCAGCTATTTGATCGACAAATGATTCATTTATGGGGGATTCAATGGACTTCTGTTTTAGTAACTGAACTGAGCCATTTAACATTTATGCAATATAAATTATTTTAGTTGCTTGACATTATGAGGACTTATTGAGAACTGGATCATTGATAACTATATTTTACTTTACGGGGCAATAAATTGACATTTGAAAAAATCATGGACATCACATTCTTTGCCCAAACTTGACTATATTTGTGTAGTCACATTAAAAATTAGGTTTCTTATTTTCTGTTTCTTTCTCTTAAAGGTTTTTAAAAGTATGTATGTCTGAGGTTTATGTGCACTAAGAAATCTTGTATTTACACATTTTCATATTGCAGTTAGTTAATAAACACTTTATTGACATTTTGTTTTCATTTTTTTTAATAAAAAATTTCAGTGAAAAATCTGCAGTAGAATCTGATTATGTTTCTATGGCCAAAGATTCTCAACGTCGAGCATCAGAAGCCACTGCAAAACAGCGTACAATTGATACCCTTAATCATACAATTCGTAATCTAGCTAATCAACGTGTGGAAGCCGAACGTCGATTAGGCGATTATAGTCGTGAAAAAGATACGTTAGAAAATGTGCTTAATGAAATCAAAAGTCATGTCGTGAATGAACGTCAAAAAGTTGAAGAAATGCGTATTAAAATCAATTGTCAACAAGCCTCAACGAAAGTATGTTTTTTAATTTGTGATGTTTTAGAACATTTTATGTTGTCTTATCACCCCTCAATTTCGTTCATTATTTTTATAAACTTTCAACTAGTTTATAAATTCTGATGAATATCTATATGGTATGGGTGTTCTATTTAAAAGCTCCCATTCTTCTATCGCACTTTCGTGTTCTCGCTTATGGCACAGCACAGTATGTTGTAAATGAGTGATTTATACTACAAATAGATAATATTGGAAACGGTATGTACTTCTCTCATGATTAATCAGTTTGTTTTTGAAGTTATGTTCTGTACTACTTGCGAACGAGATTTCTAATTTAATGCAACTCATTATTAAGTATCTGCAATACGGTTAGCTGTTTTTAAAAAAGACATCATGGATTTATGAGCAGGTGATGACAATAAATGAATCTAAAGAGGTGTGTAATTGATTCCTAATTTGATTTCACCG